TTGGATATGATGCCTCTTTAAAGTCCCTATTAGTCTTTAAGTTCCTTCTCTATCTCCTGTCCCCGTCTGCCACTGATTTATTGAAGAACTGGGTCATTTGTCTCATATGGCTTCCCAGTCTTGACTTGGCTGATTACATCCCCACTGTGTTAACATGCTTCTGGGTGCTCTGTATTTCCTGCAAATTGGCAGTTGGATCTAGATGTTTGATCAGATTCATGATTAATTTTTCTTGTCAAGACTACTTCATAGGAGTCATTGTGTTCCGTTAGGAGGCATCCAAGGCTTGGATATCTGTCCTTAATTTATTATTATTTTTGTTTTATGCTCACAGTGGTTGGTGACTGTATTAGTCCATTTGGTACTGCTCTAACAATGCCCGAAACTAGATAAAGAACAGAAATTTATTCTCTTACAGTTCTGAAAGCTGGGCATTAGATGTGGACTTCTTACTAATGACAGATGTTTGGTCCTCACATGGCAGAAGAATACAAAGACAGACCTCATTCCTTCTAATCCTTCTGATACTGTCACCAATTCATTCATGAAGGTGGAGCCTTTATGACTTAAACACCTCCTACTAGTCTCCACCTGCCAACACTGATGCACTGGGGAGTAAGTTTTCAGCACATGCATTTTACAGACACATTTGTACCACTGCAGTAATTGTTATCTACAGCCATTATTCTTCAGGACCTGCAAAATAGTAATACTCTAATTATATCACTACCACTTCATTTATTAGCTGCAATAGTTATATAGGCTAGTAAGGCAAGGCTCTGGGTTCACTCCCCAGTACAGAGAGACAGACAAACAGAGAGATAGAGAAAGTTCCCTCCAATGTACTATTTGATTATTGGGTAATACTATTCATATGGGAAACACAGCATAGATAAAAAAAAAAAAAAAAACCTTTACTTAATCAGTTTTCCATATAACAAGTTGGCTCACTAGCATCCTTTGCCGTGTTTCCTTGCCTATTTACGTATTACCACTATGAAGTCACAAATTTATTGCTGTTACCATCCTTGTTGATATTCTAATTGCCCCATCTTTGGCCAAATTGGCTCTTCAGCCCTTTGAGACAGCCCTAGTAATTCTCCATAACTTCCTTATTTTATGATCTGACAGGAAGACCTGGTATCATATTATCCATTTCCTGTCCAGACTTGAATTCAGTCATTTCTCCAAGGAGCTCTGATCTTTGCTAATGGGAATTGCTATTTCCAGAGTGAAAAAAAAGGATGTGAGAAAGGCTTGGTTACTGAGTTGGTGACCAGTTCTACTACATTTTACTGAACACATATGTGATTTTTTCCATCCTTCCACCTTCCTTTCCTCTAAAAATAAAACATGTCAGGAATTTATTATGATATTTCCTTTCCAAATTGAGCAGTGCTGGATTTTTGTTTATTCTCCTCTAACTTACACCTGTGTCCCTTTTCTTCTACACTAAGAGTTCTGTCTGCACAGGAATAAAAGAATGAGAATACAAGTATTCCAAATCTGAAAATCCAAACTGCTCCAAAATATGAAATTTTTTTAACATCAATAGGACATAAGTGTAAAGTTCCACACCTGTCCAGTGGCACAGACAAAAGGCAGGTGTACACTAAAAACAGCATAAAAGATCACCTTCAGGCTAAGTATGTAAGGTGTATATGAAACATAAATTAACCTCAAGTTTGAACTTGACACCTGATTATGTATATGCAAATCCAAACTCCAATATAATGTGAGATCTAAAACATTTCTGGCCCTAAGTGTTTCAGATAAAGGATACTAGAATTCCTCATTTGCATTAGACCACCAATGCCAGACAAACAAAACCAACCCTGCCTCCCGCATATAGGTTTCAGGCTTCCTGTTTGTTTCATAGGTCTTTTATTCCTTAGAATTCATTTCTCTCTGGTTGTACAAATTGCTATATCATAAAGTTACTTGAAATATTCTCAGTATGTCATTAAGCAGATATATATTTATATTTAGGTGTTTTACTTCATTTCTTACTTTAAGAATCATTCTTAACTTTTCATTATGAATATTATTAGTTAATATGTATCATTCATTAGCATTTTTGCTTCAAAACTTAAAATGTGATTGTTTATAATTATAAAAAACATAATACTATGAAATCAAAGATACAAAACAAGATATTATAGCTCATATTTCATTTCCTTCATCCTATTCTCTCCCTATGTCACCCTATTTTGTTTTGTTTAGCAAAATAGCTTTTGTATAAGTAATCTTTCATTATGTAGCTTATTTTATTTACTTCTTCATTTCCTAAAATATATTTTTGATATTTAGGAAAGTTTATATTTTTGTTTTAATAATCATATATGTACAGATATGTTTGTATAATACTACCCATAGGTCATATTTTTAAATTCTCCGATAGTTACCTACTATGAGCTATATTGCTATAGCTAGTAATCACATTTTTTTAATAGTATAGAGCCTTGGTTTCTTCTCAATAATTAATAGACTTATTTTATAGGTCATTGGAAAGACTAAAAAAGACAGTATATATAAAATGTATATATATGAACACATTAAGAAAATAATTCATAAAGTAATATTTTTGTCCTGTAGCTTATGGATGTTATACAAAATATTGTTCAAAAGAATGGATTCCATAAAATTGTTCTCTTGCCAAGCATGGTGGTTCATGTCTGACCCCAAGAGTTCTTAATATCTAAATTTATTATCCACTGTTTTATTGGGGAAAAATTATACTCTGTTTACTTTTCTCTACTTCCACCCATTCTTTATAGAACAAAGCAGATGGATGAATTCATTCAATGGAAAACAGAAGTCATAGCTCTTTCTTCAAAGCAAAAATTAGAAATTTGTCTGAAAGCCTTTATTAATCATGTCGTTGATTAGGGTTGATTATTTTTCAGTTGAGCAAATCTCTTCATATTGCTGGCTACGTTGCTTTCAAATCTGTCGATAAGGAAGATACTAAAGAGAGTTCCTTGACAGCAAGGCTGACCTCACTATCTCAGCTCCAGAGTCTTACCCCCTGCACAATGCCTAGCAAGCACAGACAAGCTTTCTATTTGAATGAATGTCACTAATACAGCATAAAAAATCATCTTAATGAACAGAAGACATGGGTGACGGCTAATGTTCACACAGTCATGAGGTCTGCATACAGAAAATGCTTAACACATACCCAGTGCCAATCAAGTTCATGAAATCTAAACAAAAATTGGAGCAAGAAATTATGACTTGCATATTCTCCCACTGGTTGCTGCAAAACAACACATATGCTTGAAATATAACTTCTTTATCTCAACAAAAACACAATAAAAGAGATATTTTGAGTTAAAAACAGTGCTTACACTTTAATGCACAGGACCAGCCAAATGTAGATGGTTGTGTGTGAGAAATTTGTTAAAATCAGAGGAGACAAAAGATAGAAGGTGAAGAAAGGCATGCCATTCAAAGTCTTCTTAACATAAACACAGGATTCACTGTTTTGCCAGCATTCTCTTTATGGTGCAGCCAAAATGGAGGCACATCTTGCTTTAGAAAACACACAAATACAAAACTACAAAAATAACTCAGTAAAATGGTCTATAGTTAAATACATACATTAAAGTTTAATTGCTCAAGTAAAGACACTATTTTAGGACTAATTTAGGAATTAACTACTTATACCATTATTTAATTAATTTTTTCTTTAAGCCATGTTTAGGCAATCCACTTTTTATACACAGTCTCATTCTAAGTAGATTTCTCTTGATCATGTGTGTAGTGAGCTAGTGCACAATAAAAGAAACTAGTGTAACCTGTGTACAACCTCTCTTCAGCATATATACTATGCAGGGTACATGCCTCACCTTTTTAAACATACTGCCTGAAGTGAACCCAGTGAAAGACTTATTAAATAGTATATCTTTGGGCCAGATAAAGTGATGCAAACCTGTGATCCCAGCACTTGGGAGGCTGAGGCAAGAAGATTCTTAGTTTAAGGCCAACCTGGACTATCTAGTGAGACCCTATCTCAAAAAACAAAAATAATAAAATGAGTAAGATAAAATAGTGTATCCTCATAGTAATCCAACGCTATTTCCACAAAATTACTTTAAAATATACTTGCTCCTCTGTGTATACAAACATAAATCTCCTGTGTGTAAACAAACAGTTGAGTGGGGAGTGCATCTCCAGCTACACAGCAGCTTGATGGGGGAGGACAGCTTGAGCCCAGGCATTTGAGACCAGCCTGGGTAACACAGCCAGATGGAGGGGAATGGAAAGGGGTGGGGGCAACATAAAAGAAAAAATGAAAAGAGGCTTAAATTTAAAATTTCTTGAAATGTACCTTCTTATACTTAACAAGTTCAAACATGAAATATTTTTTCTAGCAAAAGCATCTCACTCTTTGAGTAAACCTTTCAGAAATGGTTATGGAGTTCTTCAACCAAATGTCCTGAAAGTAGAGTGTCCTGAGTGCCAGGGTTCCTAACAGAGACTCTGTGTCACCAGCTTTCCCTTCCATGTGGTGTCTTCTCAAAGCAGCTCCTCAGATCCCTAAAGATAACACTGGCTCTAAAGTCTCTTCTTCCCCAGATCTTCACATAAAGTTCAAGTAATACAAATAATGCCTATAACCTGAGTTGATTGTGAATCAGTGATGCTCTGTTTTGTCTCAGTGAGAAGTCCTTTGATTATTTCTAACTGTTCTAATGTTGAGACAAAATATATAGAAATAAAAATCCAGGTAATTTAACTTCAACTATTATCCTTATTTATCTTTGGTGAGCAATCAAAAGTCTCTTAGTCAAAAGTAAAGTATGCCCAATCCATAAACATGTACAGAACTGCCTACTTCTCTTCGAAACACACTGACTGGCCACGGTTCTAAACTTAATCAACATATGATGAAAACAGATAATGAATTCCGTTCACAGGAGCAGGGATGGGTAACAAAAGTTGGCATCCCTGTAAATTAAGATGAAATGTACAGAGAACAAAGAACTCTCACTTACTTGCACGAAGCACTGAAGGTGTGACCTCAATTTCACTTGTTGCTTGGTAAGGCTGAAAGGCAGAAGCATTGTTGGTACCAAGCTCACTACCAAATATCTCTGGACTCTGGGTCCCAGTGGAGCTGGCACTGGTGCCGTCACCTCCATGATGGGGATCTTGCTCATCAAACACTGCTACCAGCTAGAAATGAGAAGCAAATGTGCATTTATAAATAAAGGCATTTAAATTGCTATCAAACTATCTTACCATTTTGACATAAATCCATAGTGGAAAAATTCTGGTATCAATGCGCCCAGGAAGCAAGACTTCAAAGAAATAGTATTTCCCTGAGGCTTGATGTTTTTTAAGATTTCATATCCAAAATTCTGTGGGTGAAAAATAATAAAGCAGACAGATAACATAAAGTGCTAGGACAGGGGAGGGTTTAAATCTATTTTTTATGTAGGATATGCTGCGAAGTGGGAAGGAAAATGCAAGTGAATGTGTGTGTATACTGATGTTTAAACATTCGTATGAAGCTGTGTGCACATGCACACAAGATGTAAGCTGCTCTTCACTTTGGAAGAAGGGGACATTAAAAACTACATTTATCTGATCATTTCTGCCTAAAAACATAGGAAGGAAAAAATAGAAAATAAATGAAATGAATTACTTACATGGAGTAAACAGAAATACAGTTGAAAGAAAGAAGGAATGGGAACAGACAGTGGGGGTCATGGGAAAATGCCATTTTTCCAAGTATATTTTTCTATACAGTTCTGAATCTCAGAATCATAATAATAATTCAATTACCTAATACAGAAATAAGTATTTCAAATCAACTAGGATGGCAAGGAGATGTGTGGGGCACTGGAGGGAATGGTACCCAAATAAATAAACCTACCTATGTTACAAATGAGTAACATGACCACAATGTAAGGGACAGAAATGAAAATAACTAGCTTAACTTTGAAAAACTCTGTTTCACTGTTTAATGTAAAGCTAAAGACAAGAACTGACAAACAAGTACTGTATTCTATTTAGAAATTTACTCTTTACAGGTTTATGGCTTAGCAATTCTCACTCTGCTACACACACACAAACACACTTATCACAAATGAATAAAAAGTAAACATATTTTGGATAGTGAAAATCAATGTTCTCACTGTCAGAAACAGAAGTTACAAATAAGGGAAAGCTAAAATAAACTCTAGTGTGTTAGACTGGAACCAGGGCATCAGTTCAAACACAGGGTTTTTATTAGTGGGTATAGTTATTTGTCACTTAAAAACAGGATATGTGTAATTCGGTGATTTCATCATTGTGTGAACATTGCACGGTCTACTTACACTAACCTATGTGTATAGGTCAATCACTTCATGTGGCCTCTTGGTGCAATTAAGAGATAATCTCAGCACCAGATGGATGAGGCTATTTCTGGCATAAGAAGGCATACTGTTTTACAGTAAAATTGTTTTTGAATAAGGAGTACATTCTAAAAATAAAGATGTGATATAATAAATGCATAAACCTGTAACACAAGTATCATGTACTGTACACATGGTACACTTTTATATGATTGGCAATACACTAGATTCATTTATACCACCATTGCCACAAGCAATAGGAAATAATAGCTCTATTATAATCTAATAGGACCACCATCAAATATGTGGTCCTTTGTCAACTGAGATGCCATAGTGTGTAAAATGGCTACACTGTTCTGTGGGCACACAGACTGCTGTGTCAGAATGTACACATGCATTTTACTAGCCTGGTTCACTGAGAAGTCCTAGCAGCAATGACATCTCAGTACCAATGAGCACACCTATTGCCCAGATCTTGGTTTCTAATAAATAATCCAGGGCTCCTTAGAAAGGTAGCTGTTTTTACGGTTGGTGCAGGGAGAACACATTGAGCTGAAGGTCTTATGCTGTACAAGTGAGGAAGTATTAATTATCACATCAAAGGGAAACAAGTACCAATATGAAGGAGCTCCAAGTGGCCAAAACTGAGACAATTTGTAACCAAGAATAATGCTAGTCATAGGTCTTAACACAAAGAATAAATATTCAAAAGACCATAAGACTTAACTGATTCAAGAAATAAATGGTGGAGAATGGAAAGCTGTCCTAAACTATAACATTCAAAACAATAAAGATAGAATGAGGGCACAGTGAAATGGCTTATGCCTATAATCCCACCTACTCAAGAGGTGGGGACTGGGAGGAACACAATTCAAGGCTGGCCCATGAAAAAAGTCAGAGAGATCTCATCTCAACAAATAAGCCAGGCATGGGTGGTACACACCTGTCATTCCAGCTACTGGGAGGCACAGTTACAAGGACTGTGGTCTTAGGCCAGCCCTGAGCAAAACTGTGAGACACTATCTGAAAAATAACAGCAAAAAAGGGCTGGTGGTGAGGCTCAAATCGTAAAGTGCCCACCTAGCAAATGTGAAGCCCTGAATTCAAACTCCGATATCAACCCCCCCACCAAAAAAAGATAGGTAACAGAATATGATGAGAAACAGGATATTTGCATGTCTCAAAATGTCTCCCCATATGAAATATTTTAGCTAAAAAAGTAAAAGAGAAGTTACTTTTGCAGTAGAGAAACTTGGCAGACAACTTTATCGGGGTTAACACTGGCAGTAAAAGATGTAAACATCATGCAGCATCTGATAAAAAGCACTGAGAAGGATAGAAGATCACCTCTGGTGATAACGTTCCTGCCAAAACTGTGTTAACTTCAATTTAATTGTGCAAACCCAAAATGAAGGACATCCCACAAAATAAATTATACTCTTCCAGAGTGCAGAGGTCATGAAAGTAAAGGTGGTAAAATTACATAAACTGGAGAATGGGAAAAATGCAAACTAAATGCAAAGTAATCCTTGACTGGATCCAGGACTAGAAAAAGTATATCAAAAACAAATTGGGGGAAAAAAAAGGTAAAGTTTAAATAAACTCAAAATTAGAAGACAGCATTTACTCAATGTGAGTTTCTTATTTCTGATAATTGTACTTTGCTCATATAGGACGTTAATATTAGGGATAAATGAACAGCATAGAGAAAGATTCTGTGACTCTGTCCCAACTTTTCTAAAATTATATTAAAAATTTTAAATGTTAGATTCAGTATTACAAAATACTATGAAAATTCATTCTGCATTCTATTTCTTATAACTAATACAGTTCTCAAAACCCTAATATGTTTCTTTAAAAAAATCAACAATGGCTATATCACCTTGGTCACTCACCTTGTCTAGCAAGGACGTTTAGCATTTCAAGGAAAAATGAATACCATAGCTAAGCCATAAATGGACTACCTCCTTGACTCCTACAATACCCACACTCCCACCAGTTAAAAGAAAAAAGTCTACAGAAATATGAGCATTTCATAAAGTTTCATTATTCTGAACAAAAGCTATTTTCATGGATATTTACATATCATTAATCAATTCATGAAACAAAGAAAACCACTGTAATGTCATGGAGACATGTAGACAAACAGGAAGCTCAGAACCCTGCTGTGGTACAATATATAATTAGCTGATTAAATAATTCAGTGGGAGGTTAAGTGGTAAGAAGAAAGCAGCGCAGGGTGAATACTCAGTCCAGTCGAGCTTCTAATAAGCAACTGAAGTGTGAAAAAGAAATCTCTAACAGTTAAAAAAAAAACTAGAAAGACATTGATAGGTGTACACCAAAGTTTCCATATATTGTAATTAAATTAATTTGTTTATCTAACATTGACTGGCAAGTGTCTTCCTGTATCAGAAGCCCTGATATTCTACAAGTCCAGGGATTAGCAAACTGTTTCTGAAAAGGGACAAAAAAGCAAGTACTTTTGGAACTGAAGTCCCTAGCATCTCTGTCGCAACTATTCTACTCTGCCATGATAGCATGAAAGCAGCCATAGGCAGCACATCAATAAATGAGCGTAGCTACATTTAAATAAAACAAGCAGGCAAAGGCCAAATTTGGCCCACAGGCCATAGCTGTTATTTTGATGACCCTGCACTAGGACAGTCTACTTTTCTAGTAACATTCAACTTTATTTTCATTTTGCAAAACAAAACTAAAAGTCAAGGTACCTTTGAAACCCCGATAAGTTAACTACCCATTTCAGGCTCATCAGCAGAACATAGAATTTCTACACTTGATTTTAATATCATACTTTCTACAAGGTGTGTGGCTTAATATACATTTTGAAGATATTAAGTTTTGACATTTTGATGCTTCATTGGAAGCAAATGAAATTCAAGTTGTTATTAACTTTTCACAATGATATCTTCTCTCAAGAATCAAGACCTTTCTGCAAACTGAAATTGAGATGGAGAATTACAAAGACTGAGTCTTTAAATGCCACACATGAGGGAAGAGCTTACACATGTGTATTAGTTTCAATAATTATCTCCAGCAATTTTAGAAAACACAAGGATCAGAAAATCTGGACTGTATCATGAACAAATGCTGTTTGAATTTCAGTGGCAGAATCACAGTTGGTGATTTGCAATATGCCAATAACATACAATTTTACAGCTTTCTTTTAAACCAAAATTCAAGTGCCAGGTGCAGAAATGAAGCAATTTTGTGTAAACTGGGAAGGATCTATAATTTTAGAAAATCTCCTCTATAAGAATACATATAGTAGCACAGCAAAAGAAAATGAGAACTTCATAAAAACATCACATATTAAAAAATCTTTACCATGCCCTTCAAAAAGTAAAAGAAATGTCTTTTAAATTTCCAAAGCACAATTCAACTCCACATTTTAACGGTGGAATCCTTACTGCTCTCCATGAAGTAAACCTTCATTTTTGAAGGCTCATTCTTTACTTTCAATAATTATTAATCTCTTTTCTATCCCATTTATCAATCAAGACTCCGTTAGAAAAGACAGGTTGGATTTGGATAACATACATGGTAACCCAAATAAAAATAAAATGTACACATCGACATATTTCCCACCTACTTCTTAAACATCAGAACCCTCCAAAAGAAAACCTGTATATAAACATTACATATCAATGCTTACAAACCATGGATCTAGCTCAATCCCTTTAATGGTAAAATTCTTAGCTAACTGCCCAAAACTGCATGGAGCAAAGTGGCTAAGAACAGAGATTTTGGAATCAGAGAACAGCATTTAAAACAAGCTTTGATTGTTGGTAAATCCATTGACCTCCA